CAGGCGAGGAAGTGAAAGCGGCGAGAAAGGCGCGGTGGATGCGATTGTCCCACCGGCAGAGGCACGTTCCAGGCCCCGGGGACAGGCCCCCTCATCCGATGCCGCATGCGTCTCCCCCCCCCCCCCGGCCCCCCGCCCTTGTGCGCCCTTTAGCCAGGCGCCCATCTTGATGAGCCTGCGCCCCTGAGGCCCTCCTTGATCCAAGGATGACACACCCTGCGTCTCTCTTCTCCCCCTCCCCCTCCCCCTCCCCCTTCCCGTTTTCGCAGACACACCCACTCGCGCGCCGCCTGCCGCCCCTCGCGCCATAATGTCGTCCGCCATGTCGTCGGCCATGTCGTCGGCCCCCTCGTCCCTCCGCTCCAATGTGCTCACCCTGATCAAGCCCACCCTCTTTGTGGCTATCTCGGCTGCCCTCTTCGCCTCGTCCATGTACAACGGTGCGTTCCAGGCTGGGCACTTCACGGCCCGCGGGCAGGGGGCGCGAGCACCCACAGGTCGCCCGGCCTGGCCCGGTGCCCCGCCCCCCTGCTTGATTCTCCCTCCCTCCCTCCCTCCCGGGTCCTGGGCCACTGACGCCGCCATCTTCCCTGCCGCCGTCGCCCAGTCGAGGCCGGTCATCGCGCCGTCATTTTCGACCGTATTCGCGGTGTTCTGCCTGATGTCTCCGATGAGGGCACCCATTTCCTGATCCCCTGGCTCCAGCGCCCCATCTACTTCGATGTCCGCACCCGCCCCCGCCGTATTGAGGCCGCCACCGGTTCCAACGGTACGCCCTTCCTGCCCTCCTTTTTGTTTTCTCCCCCCTCCCCCCCTCCCTCTCTCCGTCTCTCCCTCCCGGTCTTCCCCTTCGGCCCATCGCAACAGCGGCGCCCCGCCCCCCCCCTCCCTCCCACTTACACCATGGACTCTCGCAGATATGCAGACGGTCCGTGTCACCCTGCGTATCCTCCACCGCCCGATCATCGACAGCCTGCCCAACCTGTACAAGGAGTACGGCACCGACTACGACGATCGTATTCTGCCCTCCATCGGTAACGAGGTCCTCAAGGCCGTCATCGCCCAGTTCGAGGCCACCGACCTCATCACTCGTCGTGAGACCGTCTCCAAGACCATTCGTGACATGATTGTCGACCGTGCTCGCAACTTCCACATTGCCTTCGATGATATCTCTCTGGTGCGTGTCCAGCTCCATCGGGCCGGGCTTCTTTGCTCTCCCCCTCCCCCCACTCCCCGCTCCTTCTGAGGGCGAGCCAGACAGTCTCCGGTGTCTAACTTCCTCATTCCCCTTCCTCCTCCTGCTCCTCCCCCCCCCCCGCCCCCGCCGCCCCCTCCCCCAGGTCGACCTCACTTTCAGCAAGGAGTTCACCAACTCCGTCGAGGCTAAGCAGATCGCCCAGCAGGAGGCCGAGCGCGCCAAGTACCTCGTCGAGAAGACCGACAAGGAGCGCGAGGCTAACCTCATCCGCGCCGAGGGTGAGTCCAAGGCCGCCGAGCTCATTTCCAACGCCATCAACGAGCATGGTACCGGTCTCATTGAGCTCCGCCGTATTGAGGCCTCCCGTGAGATTGCCACCACCCTGGCCACCTCTCGCAATGTCACCTACCTCCCGGGTGGCGGCAACGGCAGCGGCGGCGATGGCCCCAACCTCCTGCTTAACGTCAAGTAAAGCCGGTCACGCCTGTGCCCCTTGAGAACGCCCTTCCGCCTGCGGGAGGGTGAGAGCAGGGGGGGTGCATGATGCGCACCATCCCACCTTCCTCGCATATGAGAGGTGGGGGAGCCACCGCTCCGGGTGTCAGTGTAAGGAGCACACGCGTGCCTCGCCACACACACACACACACATCCCCTTTAGATCCCTCCCCCTCCCCCCCCCCGTCCTTCCCACTGGACGTGAAGAAAGTGACAGGGAGGAACACACATGCCCCTCCCCTCCCGCTCCCCAGCCGGGCGTCCCCCCCCCCCCCCACTGTGTTGGTGCAGTCGCGCCCTGCCATACCTTTACCTTGTCCGCGCTCGCGCCCCCTCCCCCTCGCTTTTATATGAATACATCCCAATAATACCCTCAAAATCGACTCCCCCATATGTACCGTTTTGCCTGGTCCCTCCCCCCCCCCCTCCCCCTGCGGGGCCTCCTGGCTGCCTGGCCCTGGGCACACTCGAAGCCCGCAGCAGGACAAATGCAGAAAAGACGAGGATGGGAGGTGCTTCGATTGTGTATTCCCTTTCGATGAGCAACAAGGAGGCACAGATTTCGGCTTTTCCTCCCCCCTCCGATGCATAGGGCACCACAGATGTCTAGCTTGATGTCCCTGCCCCTCCTCTGCCCGCTTCTTCTGAAACCGTGTGGCAGGCGTGCGCACACATGCTTTCACATGTGCCTGAGTGGCTGAAACTTCAAAAAAAGGGGAGTTATGCAGGGCCCCCGCGTGATGGAGAGAGAGAAAAGGAAAAGACACACAACAAGGCGCGCATCAAGGTGGAGGAGACTCAGCCGGGGTGATACATCGCTCAAGGACAGTCTCCTCGCCATGCCGAAATGGCATGCCATCCAGGGACTAGGAACCCATGTCGCTGTCGGCGACCACCGAAGAGGAGGGTGTCGAGGTGACCGCCCCCTCGCCCGAGGTGGGGCCCATGTCCATCGGCGGATGCCCCACACCGCTGGGCCCCGGGGCGGCCGTCCCCGGGGGAACCGGCCCGAGCCCCGGCATGAAGCCCCCGGGTGCCAGGGCGCCTGGGTTGTTCAATTGCAGATGCTGCAGCTGCACCAGCGACTGGAGCATCAAGTTCGGCGGTCCTGCCCCGCCACCGGGGGTCAATGGCTGCGGCTGCTGCTGCCCCGGGGCCGATAGGTCACCGGTCCCCGGTGACTGGGGGTTCCCGCCCATGAAGCCAGAGGCCGCCATGAGAAGCATCTGCTGCTGCATGGCCATGTGCTGCTGAAGCTGCTCCATGGTCTTCTGCATCTCCATGATCTGGGCCTGCTGCTGGCTGAGGCGATCGGCCGCATCCGAGTGATGGTCCCCCTCCAGACCCGCAGCCGAGGAGGGAGGTTGCTGCTGTGAATGGGGTCCCCCCCCGGGGCCGGGGGCTAGCCGGGCACCCAGCTGCCTGCCCTCGGATTGATGAGGGGCATGTGCATGGTGGTGCTGGTGAGAGCCCGGGTGCTGGGGATAGTAGGCGGCCTGGTCCTGGTGCGGGCCACCCGGACCAGGGGCCTCCGGGTACGTGGAGTGGTGGAAATAGGGACCCTGCTGCGTTTGGGAACCATGCTGATGGAAGAATTGGTGCGGCCCGGGCGCCGTTGACCCCTGCTGCGAGTTGTGGTGCTGCTGCTGCTGCTGCTGCGAGTGGAGCTGCGGATGAGCCCCCAAGAGATGGGGCTGCTGCTGCTGCTGCTGCTCCTGGGCAGTGGCAAATGCATTCCCCGAATCGGACTCCTCTCCAATCAGGGAAATTTCGACATCCGGCTGAGCTGGCTGCCCGGGGGCCGGGTCGTCGCGATGAGCGGCCGAGTGCTTGGCCCGGCTGGCGCCGCCGCGAGTCGCACAAGAGGGGCACTTGCCGCCGGAAGTCGCACCACCGGCCCGAAGTTGGGCCACCTCCGCGCGCAGACGGTCATTGGTCTCATGCAGGTAGCGAATGTAATCGGCAGACTTGCGCAAAATGGTGCCCTTGTTGGCACTTCCGCGCGTGCTGCCAGAACCCCCGGACGTCGATGTCCCGGCAGCCGCCGCCTCACCAATAGAGGGGCGATCGGGCGCCGGGAAGGTGAAGCTCTCATAGTCATCCATGGCCGGGTCCGGCAGGCAGTCAGGAACCAGGAAGGACAAATCGGCAATCCGATCATTGATGTTATCACGCCGCCGACGCTCGACTGTCCGGAAGGGGAGGGGGGGGGGAGGATGCCGGCGACCAAGAGGGAGAGAGGGGGCTGTCAGTGGTCGAGGGAACAAGAAGAGGCGCAACAGTCGGGGGGAGCACAGGGCGAAGGCGAAGCACGTACCAGCATTGTGGACTTCGCGTCGCCGGCGAACTCGCTCATTCGGGGCGCCGGTCTCCTCTTCGCCCTTGAGGGCCGAGGATCCCGGGCCAGCGCCCGGACCAGATGGGGACATGGTGCCCAGCTCCGGCGTTGGCGAGGCATTCAATGAGGGGGACGAGTCGCCCATGGCACCGGTGGTCGACCGGGCCGAGTCCATCGGAGCGCTGGCGGTTTCCTCATTTGAGCTTGAATCGGCGGGGTGCGCCGGCTCGGCCTTGATGAGCACCCCGCCAAATGAGGAGGCCGGGAGGGCGGAAGCCTGGCGGTCGGGCATCGACCCACCCGCCGGCAGGGGCGCCGAGGTGGCCACCCCGCCACCGTAATACCCGCCGGCCGGGAAGCCAGTGCCGCTTGGGACCGACATCGGGACGGCCCCCTGGCCGGGATGCTGATGCGAGGATGCCGTTGAGAAGGGCTGCGGCACCGGGCCAAAGCCGGACCCGGCCGATGCCGACAGCGGAATGGTGGCCGAGGAATTGCCACCATGCTGCTGCTGCTGCTGCTGCTGCTGCTGCGAGTCATACATGTATGGCGAGGGGGTGACCGAGCCACTGCGATCGGCCCCCGCAGGGGGACCCTGCCCGGCGCTGGCACCAAAGAACCCGACCGAGAAGCTCCCACCGCTGGCACCAATGCTGGAAACACTGGTGCCAAGGCTGCTGGCCGCGCTGCCAGGCATGCTATCGCCCCCGTGGAAGCTCGACCCGGCCGAGGATACCGAAGACCCCTGGTATGAGCTGGAGTAGGTCGAGTGGGACGGCGAGGGGATGGGAATGGGCCCAGCTCCGCCAAAGGGAGATGCACCATGGTGGTGATGGGGGTGGTGATGGTGCTGCGAGGGGGGCACTTGCTGCCGTGCCTGGTGCGGTTCCGGCTGCGCGTGGTGCGAATACCCGTGCGGGTGCGAGTGGTAGGGCGAGGGGCCACTCGACCGAGAGTGGGGGACCCCCATGGCGGCGGAGTAGCCGCCGGCCCCGGGCCCGGATCCCGGCAGCATGCCCGGATGCCCTGCCTCGTGGCTGAGATTCCCGGCGGTGGCCGACCGCGGAAGCGAGGAGGAATATTCCCCGGGCCCGGTGAGGTACTCCTGGCCGCTGCCAAACGGCGTCATCTCGCGGTGGGCATATGCGGCAGCGGCCGCCGCGGCCGACGGGCTCCCGACGCTGTGCCGTGAAATGCCAATCGGACCACCGGGGGGGCCACCGGCGCCGGGAGGCCCAACGCCGCCGAAGGGGGGCGATGCGGAAAAGTACCCGCTCAGGTGTCCGGAGGAGGCCGACGTGGAGAGGGGCGATGGTCCAAAGGGCGAGGAGGGAACATGGGCTGGGGCCCCGCCGGCCGAGAGGACCGGCGTCGGGGCCGAGGTCCCGCCATAGGAGGAGGCTCCTCCGGAGGGTGGATGGGCCGGCGACGTGCCAGCTTGAATGGGGATCCCGAAGGGCGAATGCTGGGACGGTGACCCGGGACCCGGAGAGTGCAGCGGATCCGAGAGGAGCCCACTCGGGGGGGGACCATTGGTGCCAAAGTGTGCCGGGCTGAAGCCGGGCGGCACGCCGGTCGGCGAGGGGGACGTCAGGGGACGCTGCTGCTGACGCTGCTGCTGCTGCTGCTCGCGCTTAAACTCCTCCTCAGCCAGTTGGCGCTGCAGCATCTGCTTGTGCTGGAAGCGGTACATGACTCAAGGGAAGGGGGGGGGGGGGGGGGGGGGAAGAGAGGGAGGCAGACAAGGGCGAGACGCAGTGGACAGAGTGGGATAACAGAGGAGGAGGGGTGCAGGGGCAATGTGCAGGGAGGGGGATCTCGGCTGCGGATGGCAGGCAACCGGAGGAGGGGGCGATGGGGGGGCGATGGGGGGGGGGGAGGGATGGAGAGAAGGAAAGGGAAGGAGAGGAGGGAGAGGGGAGGGCGCGCGCGAACAGTGCGCATTCGGGGGGATTGGTGGTGGCGTGAAGACCACTGGGGGGGCGGCGCAGCCGCTGGGGGGGGTGATTTCAGTCCAAACCGGGAGCCCTCTCTCGGGGGCCTGATTCGTCTTCCCCCCCCCCC